GTTTATAGTTTGCACAGGAATGCAGTCAGCAATAAAAATGATGAGTGTACACAGGGAGGAGTGTTAGTAATACTCTTCTGCCAGCAGTTACTGTAGACAAGTGCTCCTATTAATAGCACCCTAGCACAGACACATGGGCAGTACTTGTGTGCACTGCGCTCTCAGCCCAGCCAGGCAGTCCTGCTCTGACCCCACTGTACCTGGTCGTGCTTCAGCCCGTGACTCAGGATGTTGTTCATGTCCTTGTGCAGCCGCTGCAGGCCGCCATAGCGAGACCACACATTGGGGTTGTTCGTGGACAGCAGCCCCTCCACTGTTGTCTTCAGGCTGTACAGCAGCTTCCAGTGCTCTCGCCTGTGGAGGAGGGGGAGAGACAAGATAGCTCAAGGTCTGAGGCTGAACAGAGCAGATACAGAGGGACAGAGGCACAGTGAGGTGAGGGGGGAGAGACAAGATAGCTCAGGGTCAGAGGCTGAGCAGAGCAGATACAGAGGGACAGAGGAGCAGTGAGACCAGGGAGAGCGATAACAAGACAGCTCAGGATCACAGGCTGAGGACAGCGGATACCGAAGGACAGAGGAGCAGTGAGAGCAGGGGGAGAGACAGGGAGACATGAGAGGTCATAAGTGTCAACAAAAGCTGCTTACAGCACCTCTTCCACAAGGACCAGAAAAACCAAGATAAAAAGAGGAAAATAAAAGCAGTGTGCAGCGATTCCTGCCGACTCGCTTCCTGGATTTCCAGGAGCTTCCCCTGAGTCAGCAATCTGGCTAAGTATAGCGCATACACAGACGGAGGAGTACGGCCGTCTTCATGGAGGTGCACACTCACACACAGCATATAGCTACACACACGCACTCTAGTTACACCTTCGTGGGGACTTCTCATTGACTCCTTCTGTTTTTATTTACTCGTCAACACTCCACCGACACAAAACCTGATAAGGACTGAAAGCAGACCTCCGAGACATAAACTGGGCGCCTGCAGGGATTTCATAGGATGCCATTTCATTTGTTTTGCAAGGACTCAAACGTCTCCTCTGCGTAGCTGTTGTTGCGACTCCAGCCCTCGCGAGCAGGGGCCCGGAGCTGCAGTCACAGGCAGCAGCTCGCCAGGTGGCTTGGGCCCTGTGCCTTGATTCAGCTCGCTCAGCTGATCGTGGGAATTATAACTCGCTGGGATGGGGGGGCGGCGCTGCAGCAGCTGACAGTAAGCGAGGTCTGCTGCCACTGCCACGTCAGACACAAGCTCCGGTTAAAGGACCTGAACGCGGCACTGCTGGCAGAGAGAAGCAGAGGGACCCGACAGGATCTGCAGGTATGGAAAGCAGCGTGAGCTCCTGAACGCTGTGGCCTCGAAGTTTGTCAACAACCACAAATAAAACTAAAACTAAAAGGGGGCAGACAGACTCTCTTTGTCCAGAGCCGAGCCGAGGGGAGGAGGCTGAGGCTGAGCCGCCACTGTGGAGAGACGAAGAGGACGGCACGCTGGAAAGACGGGAGGAGAGCAGTGCGGTTCAGGTTGACCCCGCGCCTGCCGCACTGCGAGCTCCCGGGGGGCCTGGGCGTCGTGCAGGGGTCTGAAACCTACAGGCGAAGCGGAAAGCACTCGGCTTTCACCCTCAATCACACTCCTTCGCTGTGAGAGGGGGCTCTTGCACAAGCACAATGGTTTCCGTTTTTTGGTTGCTTGCTGACACGGTAGTCTAGAACTAACAGCACGGAGCAGGAAAGGGTGTCAGATTAGCCGAGAGGGAAGTTCAGGCGATATCAGCTGCTGCTGCAGAGGTCACTTCTGCATGGAACTGGGAAGGCAACAAGGGTTGCAGCCTTCTCTCCTGATTCACTCCGACACTGGCTAGAGATCAGTGAGAGTGAGATCAGTGAGAGGCTAGAGGCGGGAGTGGGAGATGCTAAGTGGGCATCTGCTTTTTGAAAAAGACACAAGCAATCACAAGTCCCCGAGATGAGGTCAGGGGAGGCCTCAGTCCGCCAGGCTCTGCCAGGGTGGTGACACATTCAGCAGCTGCACGCAGAATGTCAAAGGGCCTGAGGAAGCTGCTGAGAGAGGAGCGGTCCAATAGCACGTCCTGCTCAGTTGGCAGAGAGAGACGCCAAATCACTCTCATTAGATCCCAATCAGAGATCCCAAATCGCTTTGCAAATATCACACAACACAGGCCCTTTACAGGCACACTGACATACTGACGGTGGCCACACACACACCCTGGCAGCAGGCACACACCCTGAGAGCGGGCATGCACACACTGCTCAAACAAACACACCCCGACAGCCTGTACAGACTACAGATATACAGTATATGAGGACTGGACTTTCCCCTGTAACCTGTTGTGCTGTACCTGACTGTTGATACTGTGACAACACAGAAGACTTTCTTGATCAAACTCTGCGGAGTCCAGTCAACTAAGCCGAGAAGTCGCTGAAAACTACAATAACTGTCATAAAACTAAGCCATTTGCCTTAATTACATGCAGTTAACCATAAAAAAAAATTAAAAAGTATGAAACTCCAAGGCCAGTTTCAGAAGTATGCCAATACCGTAAGTAGAAAAGATGGCACCATGGGTGGATAAGCAAATGCTGGCGGAAAGCAAGAGCAAGAAAGGATTCAACTGCTGTGCAGCGGGAGTCGGAGTGTCAGCGTCGCCCGCAGTGTCACGGTACAGCTCTTCACCAACTTCCCCTCCCTCCCTCGGCCTGACCACAGCACAGGGGGTAAATACGCCGGGCCAGCCCCTAGGAAACTCCCCCACCACCACTGGACTTTTCAGCACAGGAGGAACAAGGAAGTCCCGCGCAGCGAGAGTACCAGCGGAGAAAACCCCTCCCAGTACCGGCACACACTCCCGGCTCACCCCGCGAGACAGACTTCCCCCCACATAAGACGTAACAAACCTCCGGGGCTCACTGCTGCAATCTGGATCAAGCAAGCCCCCCGTCCCCAGATTTGGCAGATCCTGTTTCCTTAGAAGACTGGGAAGAAGAATAGGGGCCAAATTCATTCCACTTCATAACATCTATAGCAAAGACCAGTAGGCTGCAAAGCCTGGCTCCAGTCTGCATCCTGAATCACTTAACAGGTCCACAGTCACAGCGATAAAGGAGGTGCTGGTTTTGTCAGGGTGACAGCACAACTGTGGGTCAGGAAATACCAGTTCGGTCAATAAACCGATCAGCAGTAAGGAAGATGCCGGAGCTTTGACACATTCTAAGGCATTTAGTGGCACTGCAGTCTTACAGGGTGACTAACCATACGGCTTGTGGGGATGCTAGGCGAGTACTCTTCCTTCACAACCGCCTGGGGCGTCAATGCAGTACAGGATACTGCCCAGTAAGGGCGACTGGGACACACTGGTGACCTCCTCCTGCCTTGGCCAAGTAACGCACAGAGCTGACGGACAGCACAGCGACACACGGCCAGCCGATGATGTTACAGCTTCCCGCTAGTGTCGGCAGAGCAAAAGACAGTTCCAGCCTGCGTTGGTCCACATCGTCCAGGGGAAACGGCTGTCAGCAGTCCATCTCCCCCAGCGCCTCGGTTCTCTTCCCAGATTTCTCCCCGGTAATGCAATTACTCCTCCCGACAGCTGCGCACCCGGCTTTAATGGCACGATCATCTGTGCCGGTGCGTGTTCAAAGGGCATCTGCAGCCCACACAAGCCCGCTTTCCCCGAGCCTATTAATAGCTCAGTGAACGCCAGCCCACACTCAACACACACGGCTGGGGCAAAAAAACAAACACCCGGACCGCACCCTCACAGTCCCCTGTCTCAAACCCGCGTTTATTCCGCCGAGACTGTTCTAGAACCCCGCAGAACCGCAGGTCCGGCTGTGGATGGTCACTCACCTGCGGTCCCCGGCCTCCGCCTCCTGGATCTCCATGCTGATGTACCGGTGCTGCGGCACGAAGCGCTGGGACTGGGGAAACCGAGCCAGAGTACCCCTCTACCTGGCTTCTCGGACTGCGCGGTGCCTTCGCCTTCAGCCGCAATCCAATCAGCCCCGGCCTTCAGGGTCAAGAATGTAACGCAAAACGACAAGACTAGCTCCAACCCCTCCTCTATCTCACCGCCGACTTCCTTCTTCCGGTTGGGGCGGGAGGAAAGTAGAACTACAAAACCCAGAGGTCTCAGCGACATGGACGGCTTAATTTAATTTGTTTTGAGAAAAGCTATCAGCACCAACACGGCTAGTGATATTCCCTTCATTTGTGGTTTGGACTCCTGTCTGTAGGTTATACATTTTATAAATACTTCTTCATTGTATTGGTATAACGCCTTTTGTCCTTAAGGATCTCAAAAGATTTTATATATAGGGGACCTCTTCAGCCAGCATTAACAACTGAAGTGCAGTCCCCTTATAAAAGAGGATTAAATTGAATTAAAAAGGTAGTTTCAGGAGGGCACCCCTTTTCTTACAAATTACATAATGGGTGAGTACAAAAAACTGGCTAAGGATGTGACAACAGGAGTGATAGAGACCCATTAGGCCAACAATTCACACAAATAATTCTATATGAACTCTGAAACAGTAAAGGCCAAAGATCCTACAAGGCATCGGTGTTGGTAACATAGTGGAATTCTAACAAAATGTATTTACTATTTTGTTACCCTCTTTTTAAAAAAAAAAAGATACACGCACCAGAAAAAATGCATTGCTGGCAATGTTTAACGCACTAAAGGCTTAATTTAAAAAAAAAGCTTGATGAAACGTCCTTTTACGCGAGGATCCTTTCGCAGTTGTATGTGCATACACCGCAGGCTATCGTGCAATACGCCTTTTTATCCATTACAAGGGGATGAACACACAATCATAAATTATTTACATATAAACACATGGAACATGTCGCCAGCAGCCATATCACCCTGCAGCTCTCAACGGGCTACCCACTGAAGCTAAGCAGGGTTGAGCCTGGCCAGTACCTGCATGGGAGACCTCCTGGGAAGCTATGGTTGCTGCTGGAAGTGGTGTTAGTGGGGCCAGCGGGGGTCCTAATGCAGTATAGTGGCGGGGACACTGTACTGTAATGGCGCTGTCTTTCAGACCAGACGTTAAACCGGGGTCCTGACTCTCATTGGTCATTAAAGACTCCCCAGGCATTTCTCAGAAAGAGTAGGGAGTTATCCCGGTGTCCAGGGGGCCAAATTTCCCCCCTCGGCCTTTACCGTGGCTCCAAATTGTCCCCATGTATGATCGCCCTGCGATGGACTGGCGCCCTGTCCTGTCCAGGGTGTACCCTGCCTTGCGCAAGTTGCTTGCTGGGTAGGCTCTGGCTTCCCCCAACACCGCATGGTATAAAGAGGTTTCGATTTTTAAGAACTTTATTTTCTTTTCACAAAAAATACAGGAAATCACAAATCAGAAAGCTTTACATTAATATACATACTTAAAACAGTATATATGATCACATCTCATTACATTTTGACACGGTAACAGTTACATAGCAACAATTTTCTTTTTTTCTGGTGCAAATCACATTCTTTATTTAAACTATAAAGAGGTTTGGTGGATTACATGACATATGGAACATTACTGGGAGACAGGCTCACTGTTCCTCAGGCTGTGACAGGAGGTCACGTCCTGGGCTGCCAGTTCAGCTGAGTTCCCTCCTCCCTCTCCCAGTAGGATTGGGAGTTGTTGTGATTCTGGCAGGTGAGGGAATTCTGGGATTAGATTTATAAATTTAGGGAAGAGTGTTTGTCGAATCCCAGAATATCTATCACAGTGGAGCATCTCTGTCTCTCCCCGCTGGCAGTGGGAGCACAGCCTGTCCTCTCAGAAAGCTGTCGTCTCCTGTCATTGGCTGTGACGTGTGCTGCGTGCCTGCGCAGAGCAGGTTTCGTGTCTGAATGGACTCGGGGAGAAGAAGGAGGTGGGGGTTAGGCTGCACTGTGCCATCCAGTCCAAAATACAGACGTATACACAAAGGCCTGGCACAGCCCTGACATGAGCGGTATCGGGTTCAAGTCTGGCGGTGTCCCTGCCTTGAGGAATGGCCCGGGGACCAGCGGCGGCTCTGACGGCCTGGATAAGATTGACATGTCGCTAGGTAAGGCCGCACGGAGCCGGGGAGTCCAGGTGGGGAGGCAGCCCGGCTTAGAGCTCTCAGACAGCAGCGCTGCGGTAAACACCGGGGGGATGGGGATAACGGTACTACTTTCGGGACTGTACGGAAAGCTCCAGCCACCGAGAGGCTTGTCGTTAAAGAGCTCGCAGTAACAGCGGTGTGTGTGTGGCTGTCCGGTTTGTGTGAGTTGTGTAGTGTGGCAGTCCAATAGGACAGGTTTCACGGGTCACCCTTAAATCACCAGTTGGCAGGGGCTTCGACCAGTTTCGGTTCAACCACTTTTAAGTGGGTTGTTGAACAGTTCAGAGTTCTAGTCAATAGTTCAGAGATCACGACAGAAAGAAACAACAACGCTCAATACCGAGAAGCTCAGGATGTTGGCTCTATTAACTCAGAAATGGCCAATTATGTATTTATTCAAACCTCATTTGTATAGCGCCTAATACCCTAAGGGTCTGAAAAAACGTCCTATCTGTAGGGGACCCCTTCACCAGCCCTTATAGTTATAGAGGGGTCTTCATACAACACGTTTCCCTTAGCGGTGTGCATACAGCGTGCATTTCAGTCTAGTTTTCTGCATAGTAAAGTCTGTGCGAGTTGTCTGGGTACAGCTTTCTGGTCTTCTACAGAGTGCAGTTTATATATGCATAGTCTCCTTCTTCAGTGTACAGTGATGGTCTATACAGAGTACAGCGTTTCTCATAGTCTGAATATAGTGAACAGTGTACCTACACATAGTACGTACAGTGTACATGTCAATTTACCTTGTCCATGATGTTAGAAAGTCTGTCTGCAGCGTGGGCAGTCAGTCTGTGCGTGCAATGCATGTCTCTTTCCCATCCTCTCTCAGGCACTCTTTATAACCTCGCACTCCTCCTCTCCTTGTCATCCCCCCCTCCCACCCCCCGCAGATGATATCATCCGACTGAACAGGAAGGAGCAGAGGACCCAGTGGGCTGGCGCTGGGCCCCGGAGGCCCCGTGTCAATGGCCGGCTCACCCAGGGCTGGCGAGGGCCGGCCTGGGCAGGGGGTCAGCAGCAGAGAGGTAGCTACATGCTGATACCCTGTCGTGTCACACATGTTAATAGACTCGCGGGGAACATACTGGTACTGATGCACTGATAAGCAGGGAAGCATTGTAATTGTTAAGATGCCTCCAAAGCACTTTGAGAAGCCACTTTTAATGGTGCTGTATAAAATAAAGTCTATTAGCAGTGTTGCATTAAACAGTATACCCTTGTTGAAGTTTGTCGAAGATGCCTTTGGCGTGTGTTGTCTCAACATTTTTCTGTCTCCCTTCCTTATTTCCTGTCTCTGCCACATCTGTCACCCCCATCTCTTTTTCCTCTCTCTCTCGCTCCTTCTCGTCTGTTTCCTCTCTTGTCCTCTTCCTCCCGGGAGGTGTGGGATACCTGGGGGCTCGAGGCCGGAGGGGGGTGGCCCCCGTTCTCCGCCGGAGGGGTCAAGGTGTTGTTACCGGGTTGGCCGCCCGCAGGAATGCTGTGCTGCTCAAGGGGATCAGCCCCTTGAACCGACCGCCGCTCACACAGGTACGGAGTGAGAGGGTGTGTGTGCAGAGAGAAATGGAAAGAGGGCAGAGCGATCATGTCTTAGAGCTGGGAGGCCGTTTAAGTGCACGTGCATGTCAGCGTGTCTGTGGACAAGTGTATGATGTCAATATAAAGCTGTGTCGGGTGCGATAGGGACTTGGACCATTGTCAAGGCTGGACAGGTTTGAGTTGCTCAGGGTGTGCTTCAGCTGAATCCTGCCTGACGACAGTGAGCTTGGAGATGTGTTTGCCTGCATCGGCCCTCTCCAAGGCGACAGCTGTGCTGTAGGTGGCATGAGACACAGCCTGCTGATCTTTACCTTGAATGTTTCAGAAGGTGCATGCAGTCACCATCTCTGTCCTGTGCATAAGAGAGTCCTTCTGCATGGATGAGTTAATAATGATAATTGGCAATTCCTTATTAAGGTTTCTAACAAGAAAAGTGAATCCAAAATTTTAGATGAAATGGAATTCCTCTGTATATTTGCCTTTGGAAGAAAAGGGCAGTGAATTGAGTGTCTGGTCTGTGTGTGAGTAGGATTATTTTTGTTTATGTGTACGTTAGAAGCTACACTGCTCAGCAGAAATATTATCCTTTCGCTATATCACGTTCATGGCCTCTATGATTCTTTCACACCTCCTCTCTTTTTCTCTGTCCCTGCCTCTGCCA